CTCCAACATACTTCCTTCCGAGACACAGGGGTAGAAAGGAAGGGGAAATCACGTGGTCTTCGGGAAAGGAGGGGGTGCGCTTAGGATCATGAAAGAAAGGGTAGCGCGGAAGATATGGCTGGAAGCCATGACGTCACTCATTACGTAAGCCGGTCCATGCACAGCTCACTATCTCCCCCCTTCACCAAAGAGCACTCTCTTCAACTGTCTGACACCCCGAGACACCCTCAAGAGTTCAGATGCTCAGTCATATTCCTCCACAGCTCACTCTGTTTCGGCCTGACCTACCAGGGCTCCATTGCGGTCCTACTCACTCCCACACCCATCATCTTGCCAGCCACATGCATGACACCATCGGGTGCCCAGGAGTCCAGAATACTGCCGCCGCCCATATATCTCAATCATGCACTCCGCGTAGCCAGCATGTGTGTCTTCAACCCACACACACCCAGTCCATCCATGGCTGGCGGACGAGATGTTATTGTTCTTCACTGGCTCCTGCCACTGTCCGATAAATGGCCCAGATGGACAACAGCACCGGAGCCTGGAGAGCTTTCACTTGTTGTGCGTCGCTGCGGCATATGTGCTGACGAACTGATACGCTACGGGGGGGGGGGCCTTCCAAAGATGTCCATTTCCATCCAACCTAGGACAGGGAGTAGATGGTGGGACTAGGATACCCTCCTGCTTGGAAAAAAAGAGTACGCTTACTAACCAAATAATCACCTCATTTAACAAATGATACCGACCCAACAACCTGACCTTGCTCAGGCCATACAGCTAACGCTTAGGTACCATAAATCAACAGAGGCCATTACTCCAATGAAAAATGCCTCTTCAACTGCGAGACATGTGCTCGGCGAATAATAACCCCGGTATCGGGGTTCGCCAATAATACACTTACAGGAGAAACAAACCTTGCTATTCTTAGTGGTACTGACCACTTCAAATCCAATTTGGTGGAGCGCTTCTGTGACCTTGAGTTCAGCAGTTGCAAACTCAGCAGGACTAAGTCGCCCACCCTAAACTCCGCCTGTCTGCTGCCCTTATTGTATCGCTCTGCCACCCGGGCGCGAACCCTTTTCAAATTGCTCAAAGCAGTTTCCAGAATTGCTGAAGGCTTCGCACACCCTTACCCAGGTCTAATTCGGCCAATTCCCACCTCAGCCCTAGGTGATGGTTTAAATCCCTACCCAGGAACAGGGAGGCAGGAGGTGCTGCAGTCGACTCGTGCCATGCTGAGTTGAATGCCAGGGCCATAAACTCCGAATAGGGCAACAGCTTCATTTCTACTACATGGTTAACTCGAATCAAAAAGTTCACAATATCCTCGGGTCGGTACTCGACAGGGGGGCGAATCCCCAAAACCAAGTCAGTTACTAATTTAACCCTTTACGGTGGTTTGACGTTTGTCGTACCGTGGTATTTAAATGCCCCTGTCTGTGGTTTCACGTACTGTGTACGTTAAGCTGTAAGCTAAGTTTCGAAATGGCATAAGAATTGAAAGGATCACGCTAGAATTATGCAGTTTGGACTCCCCTGTTATGGAGAGAACGCAGTCGCTGAATGTACGCATGCAACTGCACCTCCTATGCCAGGAAGTCTAAAAATAAACTCGTGACTCACAGTGGTATCAACGCTGACTATAATTTACACATTCCAAACACATGATATGGTTTAGTGGTTAGGAAAGCTAAGAACAAACAGCGCCAGCGGTTGTTTGTGAAACGTGTTGAAAGGAACTGTCCTTTCAGTGGGTGCGTGTTTACTTGAACGAAAGAAGGGTCTATGTCGTCTAAAAAA